ATCATTATTGTACTTTTTAGACAATGTTTTTACCTTTTCTTTGAGCTCTTCTTCGGTCATAGTTGAATATTTCCAAAGAAACTGAAAAATCTCATTTAAGCTGTTAGCAGCTTGGTACCTTCGTACTAGGTTTCCAATGACACTGTCAAGCAGCACAAAAAAGACATTGATTTTAAAGTTTTCTTCAGGACAATGAATTTGCATTTGTGTGCATTTGTCAGCGAGCAGTTTAGCTTTCTTTCTTCTGTCAGGCAGTTCTTTATCAATATTAAGACATTCTGCAACAGCTTTGCATTCATTAAGTATATCAAACCATTTTGAGCGCAGAGTGCTAAGATTTTCAATTAGTTGCCGCAGATTAACAACCTCTACGTCTAGGGTGGCTTGTCTGGCCTGCAGAATTTCATTCCATATGTTTATTTCACAGAGTACTTTTAACCATATCGATGCCATTAGTAGACACTCAAACGTGTTTAAATATCGTTCAATACCTTTAATTTCAGTTAATGTTTGTGGGGTGAGATGAAGTTGTTTTATAGCATTGAGAGCGGTTTTCAGTCCAGGTAAATGAGCTGCAAAAGGCCGTACACTCTCCACCCTTGCAGACCATCTTGTTTTTGAATGAGAATGTAGCGAAGATCCAATACACTTTTGAAGAATTTCCCACCTGTTATGCAATATGATAATCTAAGAGTTTAAACAAACAAATTTGAAAATAATAATTTACCTTTGTGGGCTAGAGCTAAATATGTTATAACACTTTTGAACAATTCCAAAAAACGTAACAGCTTCTGCTGAAGATTGGGCCGCTTCTTCTCCACACAAATTCAGACTATGAGCTGCGCAAGGTGAATATACAGCTACCGGATTTTCAGTTAAAATTCTGCTTTGTACGCCTTTGTACACCCCACTCATATTTGATGCGTTGTCATACCTTAAAAATTAATACAATACAACTCTGTATATAAAACAACGTATAACAATATTTGGGTAGCTCCAATTAAAAATTATGTGTAAGCTAAAATATAATTTTTTGCTATATTGTTTTCACTTACCCCTGTCCTCTGCAATTTTCAAGTAAAAGATTGTGCTCTTTAAGCGTTGATTTGATTAAATCTGCAATTGCTTCTCCAGTTTTATTGCTGCAGTCGACAAATTTTAAAAATCTTTCGTTGATTTTGTAAACAGTTTCTTCCCCTTCACTGTAAGGAGTCACATATCTTAGGATAAACACGGTTTGTTCAACGTGTGATGAGTCTGGAGTTGAATCAACTATTGTAGAAAAGTATTTTGACTTATTAATTTTGTTCACGATTTTCTGAGTGACTTTTTGTGCACAACACACGATAAACTCATTTTGTATTTCCATGGAAAGGTAGTGAACTGGTAGCCGTTTTTTTTGCATTTGTGATTGTTTAACCTTTATCAAATGATCATTTAATATAGGTTCTAGTATTCCCAAAAAAATTTCCATTTCTAGGATTACCAACCAAATTCGAATCACCCCTTAAGGACAGTCCTCTTTCACCCAAAAACAAAATTACATGAAGAATCCTTTGTAAGATAGCTCTCCAACGAGCTTTTTCGTTTGTTATCATATCAGTAAGGTTAGTATCAATAGCTGGTTTATTCTTCAATAAGCATTTTTCTAAACTTCTCCACTCAAAATAGCACAATTTGTGGTTAGAACTATTTTCGTGCGGGTTGAGTTTATCGTGAATTCTCTTCCATGAGAGTTTGTTGCCACTAAATCCTTCTGGACATGTTAACATGGACCTATTTGGCAAAGGCAATTTACTAAATATGCGGCATGGAAAACAATAAATTGCATTTTTGATTTTACTCCATGCCAACCAATTTCTTTTGACCTCTTCTCCATTTTTCAATTTACAAACAAGCACCGATGGAGGAAAAAAGTTCCCTTCAAAGTCTACTGGAAAGTTTTTAGGCAAGGTTGGTGGACCGTTAAGGACGGCTTCATGAACGTCTTTGGTTTGAAGAAATGTGTTTTCTTCTTTTCTTATATCGTACACTGAAAGTGTTGATTTGTTGCAGTTGTTGGCCGCAGATGAGTTTTCACCTTCGTCAACATCAAACGTTACAATTTCAGGAGAAATAACGGTAAGAGATTCTTCCACCAATGTAGTATTTTCAATTTTTTCAGGTTCAGATTCGTTGTGAAAATTGGAACTTGATTGATTAATCATAAAAAAACTGTCACATGTTTTTTGGATTTTTCTTGCTAACGTTTCTCGTTTTTCTTTTTCCTTTCTTTTTGAAGCACCTGATTTATGCTGATAGCTCATTTCTCTGATTCACTCTTGTTTTGAGGCAACAGTTAAAGAACGCTACACTGAAAAACAAACAAATTAAATAAACGATTGACATCACCATGACAACACCGAAAAAACCGACTTTACCATGGAGATGGACTTACATTTAATACGCAATTGCATGTGTAATTTTTATGTTAATAATTTATATTAGTTTTTTTTAAAAATGTTGACATAATCCTAATCCACTTTTGCAATTAAGTTCAGCTTTATATATTTAGCGTATTCTGGAAAAATTAATGTTATATCGCAATTTTAATCTCGGTCGGTTCACTTTTACAGACAATACAATATGCTGATTTGTATCGTCTGTTGTACGTCACATTGCATAGTAAATTTTAATAAATTAAATAATCACTCTTTTATGTGAATGTAGAAAATGATTATGAACATTCGGAAAAATTCATATTTTTGTGCAATACATTCAGACAAAATTAATTTCTCACTGAAGTGATATTTCGCGTCTAAGTAATTTTTTCGAATCTTTGAAACCACTTTTTTTCAAAAAATTGGATAAAAAAAATCATTTTAGGGCCCGTCCCGGGCCCCCTTGAGGGCCCGGGCCCCAAGTTTTAGACTTGGCTGACATACCCTCTCGGCGGCCCTGGTCGTGTGGTGTGGATATAGCCTTTGGGACACAAAAATTTAATTGCAAATATAGAACAACATGTAAAGATGTTGATAGAGCCGCTTTAGAAAGAACAAAAATACATATAACATAATCCCTAACCATGACACATTATTTGGCTCAAACGACGACACAAATTTATCTCCGTGAGGACATGAAGAACCCATATATCGAACTTCGAGATTAAACTCAAGTAGTCATAAAACAGTTGAATTCGATAAATTTAACTTCTCACCATTATTATTTAATTCCATGACATAACTAGAATAAATATAACGGCCTTCGCTCACTTTTAACAGTCGAACAAGGAGCTTACTTTCGGATTTGGAGGGTGATTTTTTATTGTTCTAGTCAAAAGTTACGATCGTATGTTTACTAATTTCGAAATATTGCTAAAATTTTAATAATTTTTTAATTGTTATTTAATGTGGTAATTAATTACTTTTATTTGATTTTAATAATTTTTTAATTGTTATTTAATGTGGTAATTAATTACTTTTATTTGATATAAATTTAAAAAAATAAAATACCGAAAATAATTAAAAGTTGAAAAAATTGAGGCTCTTTGCATATCCCTGCTTCAATCCATAAGAAAGTGTTGTATATTGGCAAATAGGCCTCCCCTTGATTGAAGATAATGTTAGATTACTAATTCATTTAACTTTCCATAAGCCTTATAAAATTTAAGTAACGCATTTGACGTTACAGACGTTATTTTGTTTTGCTGTATTTCTTGTGGGCATTGTATATTATAATTTACGTTCCTCCCTCTCGTAACACTTTCCGTCGTTAAGAATTCATCGTTGGCATTTTTGTTTTAAAATAAATAATAAGGTACGTCATGAGTGAACTTGACGTGCGTGTAGGCTGTGATGGATGCTCTGTCTAGTGTTCCTTTTTTTATTTTTAATTTCCTTCCTGTGTGTGTTTGTGTGTATTCTGTGTAGTTTAGTTTGTATATAAAAGTGCTGTGCTGTAGTCTAGTGTTTGTGATGACTTAGGTTAGCGTTAGTGAGATGTAAATAGTCCAAGTAAGATCAAGAGTGGTGTAGTCTTTTTAAGTTTTTAGCAAAAGTAGTGGGTTGGTGACAATAGACTACTATAGAGTATAGACTAGAGTCTATACTCTATAGTAGTCTATTGTCACCACTACAATTAATAAATAATAATAATATTAATTAATTGATTAATCATTAATGATTAATTAATTAATACCACACTACAAAAACATCAGACACACCCATCTTTTGAACATCTCGGAAATAGCTAATTTTTTTAATAGCTTTATAAATAAGCTAATTGATTTGATTTGATTTTTCATAAGATAAAATAGACTGATTATTAGATAAAACATAAAATAAATTAATGAACCAAAATTGAATGCTATACTACTACAGACACTACTATAGACACTACTTCCTTACTACTATTACTACTACTACTACACAATAAATAGTGTAAATTTTATGATGTAAAGTAAAGTCAATATGATGAATCAGACAAATAGTAAATGAACTCATTATAAAATAAATGTAAATTTATTTTATGTTTAAAATGTTAAATAATACTACTATTGTAGTGTCTACCAATATAATTCATGTCTTTTTAATTCCAATTTTAATTTTCAGGATTTGTTCGTTGGATTTATTTTATATGGTTTATAAGTTTGAAGATGGTTTGGTTAGCTTTTGAATTGTAATATTTAATTAAAAAAGGCTATTGGTGATTTAGCATTGTTACTATTATATAGCCTGTATTATTTTTGGTCCTATATATAGATATTAATATATTTGTATATTTATTTTTTATTTCAAAACATTTATTTGTGAAATCATGATGCAGTTGTTATAAAACAAATTTTAATCTAAATGTATGACTGTTCTAAACTATTTTTCCGATGTATTAAACTTGAAATTGACTTCAATTCTGTAGTTTTAAGGTTTAGTTTAGATGTTTTAAAAGGATGGCTTGAAAAATTATTGGTTTTCAAGATAATGATAGTTTAGAATCAAGATGCATTTTGAAATCATTTGAAAATTAATGATAAATTTTTTTTTGCCAGTTTAATTTGAAAATGTTTTTTATAATTTGAAATTTTTTCAAACAAGAAAGAAGATAATCATGCAGATATGCCTCAAACTGAAAAGTAAGTTTTTGTTCACTGAATTGCATTTATATTTTGAAGATTGTAGGACCTATGTTTTTAGTTTGCCCTTTTAAACTTATCTATAATTAAAATTGTCAATGACGATCTCAAATATATGCCATTGTTAATGCATGGTTTCAGTGAGATGAGAGGTGAGAAGGACCAGGTTATTAATCATATTCGTGCATAGGATTCTTTTTTACCATTCAAAACTGATAAGAATAAACACCAGGAGAATTTGCTTTTTAAAAATTTACAAACTATAAAACTTGATTTTTTATAGATTGTGATTTATAGATTGTTATATATAGATAGTGTAAATAATGAGCGTCATTGAATCAATGCTTGGAATGTTTTATAAATTTGGACAACAAATTTTAATGTAATCTGCATTGTTCTGAGGCCAATACATTTTTTGTTATTATCTGTTTTATGATTGTTTGAAGTACATATTTTATTACAAACTGTTCCATGATTTATGCTGAGTATTGATGAACGAATATTTTAAAATTATTATGAAATGATTTATGAAATTTTTGAATGGATTGAAATTAATTTTCTAGAATAAACATCTCCGCTGCTAACTCAACCACACAAACAAGTAATTCTGTGAAATATGGCGAACTAGTTATTTTAGGGTTAGTGCATGGAGAGCACGTCTCTCCTTCCCATTTCTATTCATAATATTTTTTAAAGTGTATTCGCATGCATTTGTGTTTATTTTATTCATTCGTTCATTAATTCATTTAATAATGCATTTATTCATTACGGGCTAGGTGTCACAAAATTTTTGTTCATAATTTCATCATCTTGAATATAAGATCTGGAAATGTTATAATACTGATTTTAAAAATGGAAATTAAGTTGTAAGATAACTTTATTATAAAAATTGAAAACTATATATATATATATATATAAATATATATATAATTTAAATCTTATAATTTGTATAATCTTATTTTAAAGCTACAATGGATGTTTATTTAATGGAGACAAAGGAAGGAGGAGAAGTAAATTTCAATTGTTCAAAAGACAAGTGCCAAATGGCGTAAAAGCTGCCAAACACCACATTGTAAATAACCCACAGCAATCAGAAGTAATGATTAATTTATTTTTTTATTAATGAAATGCTAATGTAATAATGTAATTGTGTTTTTATTTTTTCAGCTGATTCAAAATTGTCATCAGCATTCTGTGTCTTACACGTTGAGCAGAAGCCAGGCTGTAATAGTTGAGTACGATCACGATTGCAACACAGATATGTTTCAGATAGGAAGGTCATCCGAAGAACAAATAGATTTTGTGGTCATGGATACAATACCAGGAACTCAGAGAGGTGATCAGTCAGTAATAATGCAGAGCACGATATCGAGGTACGCGTGTCGCATTCTCGTGGATAGGACTCATCCATATGCTGCACGTATTTATGCTGCAGGTTTTGATAATGGAAAAAATATATTTCTGGGGGTAAGACTAATTATGCTTTAAATTTTCTAATAACTCCAATTCAAAATGCTGAACTATCATTTTAGGAAAAAGCAACAAAGTGGTACACAGATGGTGAAATAGATGGGCTAACTACAAATGGAATACTCATAATGCACCCTATAAATGGGTTCACAGAAAACTCCAAAACGGGTTTGTGGAGGGAGCTGTCAGTTGAAGGTGGTCTTTATGCTCTGAGGGAGTCACGATCTGCACCCAATAAGGGAAATCTAGTTAGAACTTCACTTTATATAGCTTGAAAAACATTTTGAGTGATTCATTCTTTTATAATAAGTAATAATAAGAATAAATTCATATTTGGAAAATTAAAAATGTTGGAGAATTTTTTTAACTAATAGATAATTAATTAATTATCCAAAAGTTTTAAGATAATAACAAAATACTTTATCTTATTTGTGGTCTTAGAGTTTCGATTTAATTAAGGTAATATAAAATAAGCTGAATGTGCGAAGTTGCCTGTACTTTCATGTGTTTGGCAGGTCTGAGAGAATGTTAAGAAATTTGTCATTAACCCCTGATAACAACAACACACGTTTAGACGACATTTTCCCCGAGATCGGGGGTTGCCGTTTGGCTACCTATGATGAAAACGAAATACCCCTCGACGCCATTCCATTATAAGTAATTTATTTGGCTAATATTTACGCAGGACGCCCTTCCTTACGCAACCACAGTTATAAGCGGTGAGCCTAGCCTTTGATGATCCAACATCACTCACAAGGCAGTGAGGGTCAGTTTAATGTCATAACCAGGACACTAACCCCTGATAAACAAACAACAAAAGATTTCAACAATTCAACAATACTCCTGACAAAATGGACAATAATAAAATACATTAATAACAACAATGGTACAGATGAAGACACTGAAGAAAGCAACATTGACCAAAGTGCATCGACAAAAGAGCAAGTAAATGATACCAAAGCAATAAAACATAACACCGAAGTAACTAGCCTGAACAAAGAAACCATATTAATCAATCTTCGTTTTGCGTCCAGAGATCCGGTTCCCCGAAATAGGACGTTGTTTCCTTTGCCATCAACTTTTTGCGCCAAATTTGACGATCAGTTGTATCCATTTCATTTAAATTTAGTGCTTTCATGTCTTGCTCGATTGTTTGCGACCAGGACTTCTTTGGGCGGCCTTTGGGACGTGTGCCAGGTACTTCAACATCTGCAAGAGAAGTTATGGCACTATTTCCACTTCGTTTGACATGACCAAACCACCGCAGACGGTGTTGCCGGCATTCGTCCTTTATATCATCTAAACCAGCACGACGCAGGATTTCGGTAGATTTGATGTGGTTCTTCAGACTAATTCGTTGCATCCATTGGAGCATTTTCATGTCGGTTCGTTGAAGTTGTTGTTCCAGTTTGGTTGTCATTGGCCATGTTTCTGCACCATATAACAAGAGCTTCTGTAAGCTTCTCTACAGTGATGTCTGGAATCGGACCTTCGATGGGTGGAGCGTCAAAGTTAACATTGATAGGATTTGTTTTGTTTAACAGAAGTATTCTCTCCACTGTAGCTTGATTTCATCTTGTTCAAGAACCATCTCATTTTTGTCGTTTTTGATACATGAGGCACCAACTATGTCTTTTTTCGTACGCTTTGCTTGTTTTGCTATACGATACAGAGATTTCATTTGTTCACCTTTGCTTTTAGTGAGCCACTCTCTGCACTGATCTGTCCGAGCCAGTGCGACTTGACGTCCTGCATAGTTGTTCTTCTCACGGAAAATTTTATGATCATCAACAGACTTTGCCATTGCTTGTATGCAACTTTCTTTTCAGCTATTGCATTTTGTACACTGTCATTCCACCACCAAGTGTCCCGTTCATGCTGACGTTTTGTACCAGTTTTCCCACAAACTGTAGTTGCAGCGTTCATCAAAACGGTTTTGTATGTACTCCAATCTGTACTGGCTTGCGATTGGTGGTCTAACTGTGTGGCGACAATCTGTTGAAATTTTTCTTGATGAATATTGCTTTTCAGCTTCCACGTTTTGATTCTCTGAGACATTTGTTTAGACTTATGTTTTGACAGTTCGACAACCAGGTCTGCCACAAGGAGTCTATGTTGGGCGACACATGGTTTGCCAGGTATAACTTTGACATTTTTGAATAGCCTTCTGTGTGGTTACTTGACAGCGAAGAAATCAATTTGCGTGGCTGATGTTCCACTTTTGTATGTTATGAGATGTTCCTACCTCTTTCTAAAATATGTGTTCAGCAAACAAAACCCGTGACTTTCAGCAAACTCAAGGATGCGGTTGCCATCTTCATTCTGTTTTCCATAGCCAAAACCGCCATGTACGTTGTCAAAACCATCTGTTTTCTCTCCAACGTGGCCATTGAGATCGCCTCCAATCAGGATTGTTTCAGATTTTGGTATTGTTGAGATGGTGTCAGAGAATGTAGCCCAGAAGTCATTTTTCATCTCTTCTGATTCGCCTGTCTGATGTGCGTATGCAGAAAAAATAACCATTTTTTGCTTTTCTATGCGAAGCTTGATCCACATGAGACGTGAATATCCTTTTAATATCCAATACTTCTTGGGCTAGCGGTTCTCTGACAAAAATTCCAACACCATTTTTGGCCGTCTTTTGACCATTCCAGAATAGTTTATATTTTTCTTTGTCTGAGTTGACATGACAGACACCATTCGATTTCCATCGGGTTTCCTGAAGGCAGCAGATGTCAATTCTTCTATGCTCGAGCGTTTCTGCGATTTCCATGCTGCGGCTAGTTAGTAATCCAACATTGAGCGTTCCAAGTCTAAGTACCATAGAGGGGCCATTCTGAATTTTTCTGCAACATCCCTCCGCTATTGCATACTTCCCAGGGATTCTTGGTACCCCTTGACCACTTAAGACCTGCTGGGAACTAGGGGCCGTTGTTTTTCTTTGTGATGGCATAGGAATAATTTGGTGAAAAGTTTTTACATCCGAACACCCATATATATATATATATATATATATATATATATATATATATATATATTTACGATTTAGATTATGAACATAGGAACATAGGAAGTTGATAAGAAAGTTGGTTAACTTGAAAAAAAAATTCATAACACTTTGACAACTTTGATCGAATTCAGCAAAATATGTAGAAAAGAAAAAAATCTTGCCTAAATTTACCATATATGTAACCCAAATGGAAAAATACAATATATTACATAATATCACATTTATATTCATTTATATAAAAAACTTTTCATTAAAATTTTCGTATTATAAATTGTCAGGTATCTACGGAAAACAATGTCTTAAAAGATGGGACCCTGATCGACTTGTGTGGGGCTACGTTGGTCTGGAGGTCCAATGAAGGTCTCGTGCAAGGACCTGTAAGTTCATTCAGTTCACGCACCCATCATCATCATTCTTATTAGTTTTTTGTGCTGTCATTCTAAATTGCTCTTTTCTACACTTTTTCATTTTTGGATCTAATTTTAATGTAGATTTGTTTGTTTGATATTTTTTTCATTTTATCTACAATTTTTTTTACAACTGAAAGTGGAAACTAAGTCCAATCATGAGTTGGTCCATCTATGATCAGCCGACAAGACAACGAACAATAATATAGCACAGACTAAATGGCGAATCATAAAATAATAACAGCATAAATGTTGTTATAAAATATTATTAATTAATTTTAACTTAATATCAATATTTTTTTATTTTATCGTTATACACTATTTCTTTATATATTTACGACAATTGATGAATTATGAATACATCGTCAGATAGATTCTTTTACACTTTTTGATGTTTCAAGTTCGATATTAAGATGCGTATTCAGCTATATATCGAGTGCTATGTTAATTTTTCATTTCGTTTATTAGAATTTAATTTAATGAAACTCAGCTAATAACACAACATGGCTGTTGAATATAATAACTAATACTGTATAAAGCTCACTAATTAATTATGTTTCTAACATATATGAAAAAAGATATCTGTAAAGTTGAAAGTACTTAAACATTATTCAAAAAGACTTTGGTCGAGCTGGAAAAACAAATAGAACAAATAAATGCTAGTCGTCCACAATGTCCAGTCGGGCTAAACACGTTGGTTCTACCGTGCAAGAACTCAATGACGGACAACGAAAAAGCTCCATACGTCTACTTGAAGTGTGGTCACGTACATGGACAGCACAGTTGGGGCAAGGGAGATGATCTAAACAACTGCACCTGTCCGATGTGTAGAGAGGTACGTCCATCTTGCTATGCTGTCGGCCAGTATTCTATAAATTCTACCGAAATTTTGGCATTAAAATGTTTTTAGTTCGTCTTTTCAATTTTGCTCGCTAATCCTTCAAAATTTTTCCAATTTATTAAAATTTGAAACAAAATTATAATTTAAATACATTGTATGTATAGACCTATTTTACTTCTAAATTATCGTTAGATGGGGATTATATAATTTATATATATATATATATATATATATATATATATATAAATTATATACAAGTTAATATACCTATAATATATATATAAATATATATAATTTGGTACGAGGTTTTCAGAAAGACATGTTCGAATAAAAATAATAACCCAATTTGTAGTTATTTGCTTTTTAAATAAGACTTCAACAAGATGTAACTTATCAGATTCATATTTATTTAAGTCCGTGATTTGGCTGACGCTCGTTTCGGCTAGTGCGATCGTCAGAGCCTAAAATTACATGTATTAATTATTTAATTTTATATTGAATTGAGTTATATGAAATATTAAATCATTAAAATCAATTAAAAGTTACTGATAAATGTGGCCTAAAATAAATGTCAGCATGTGTGATAACCTTTGTAAAATCAACATATTATAAACAATTAAAATAAAGTAATTAAACTTTTAACAAAATAGTTACGGATAAAATAAAAATTGTGCATATCGTAGTATCATAAATTCAAAAGTGTGATTGATGACACTTATTTTAGGCCACATTTCAGTAACTTTTAATTGATTTTAATGATTAAATATTTCATTTAATTCAATTCAGTAATTTTAAGCTTTGACGATGGCATCAGCCAAATCACGGACTTAAATAAATATGAATCTGATAAATTACGTCTTGTTGAAGTCATATAAATATATATATATATAATTTAAAACAATTTTAATCAATTGGATACATTTCAAAGAATCTTAGTGAGAAAATTGAAAAGATGAACTACAAGTACATTAATGCCAAAAATTTGGTAGAATTTATGGAATACTGTATTAAATTTGGTTTTCTTCCGACACATATATATCCGTGTGTATACATTTATTTATGTCCGGTTGCATACACGAAGGTGGGACCATTCGTGAAACTGCAGCTTGGAGAAGAAACAAGCTTCTACAACGACAACGGCATAATAACGCACTGTTTTTCGCCTTGTGGTCACATGGCTTCCGAAAAAACTGTCAGGTAAAATAATTAAATAAATGTTTTCTATGAGATGAAATGTTATAAATTTTCTTTGTAGCATGTATTTTAAAAGTCAACATTTTCCCTGATATTGTTTGATATTACCTCTAATATTTCTTAAGAATGCCTTGAACCCATAAATGCGTTTAAGGGATGGTTATGCCTAATCAACTTGTATGTACAATTTTAAATAAACTGCTGGAAAGTTGTTTATTTCATAACTTACTTCATTTTATAGACTAGCGACAATTATCATTATGAACAAACCCATTAACATCGACATTAACATTGATTTTTTTGAGTCACCATTATGAACTACTTGATTTGAAACTTCTGCATTACATGACAGGTATTGGTCCACAGTGCAAATACCTCATGGTTGTCTAGGATTCCAACCGGCCTGTCCTTTCTGTGCTACCGTTCTCAACGAATTAAATCCGTGGGTGCGACTTATATTTCAAGATAACATGGATTAACTTGCTTACACGGACTACAAGTTTAAAATGTACATAGATGTAAATGTACTTTAGGTTTATGTTTCTCAAAATTTATGCAATTTCACTATTCAGTTAAAAGTTATTCATAACTAGCAAATTGGAAAAAAATCAGGATATATTTCAAATATAAATGAAAACAAAATGTTGCAATTGCTAATAAAGTAAAAACTAATTGCCGTAATTGAAAAATCGCGATGTGAACAAATTGAAATAAAATGTACAATATCATGACCAAGCGTATTTCGTTATAGCAAAAAAACAAATTCGAATATGTGATTGTGGACCAGTAGTTGTGAAAGTATACAAAATTAGTTTCAACATAAGTTTAAATGATTTTTAAATCCAATAATAAGGTCTCTTTAAAAAAACTGCAAATATTTTGACATTTAATGTCGCTTCAGTGTTGCTTTGGTTGTCCGTAGCCACCTCCTCCAGGCGTTTTCAACTTGAAGACATCCTGCATTATTGTTACAAAATTAATCAATACCATAGTCAAATGTTATTAATAATGCTGCCTACTATGATCGTTGTTAAGGTCTATATTTGCTGTCTGTATATCATCTTATGTGTAAATGACTCCACAAGTCTTATGCGCTAACGTTCAACGCGCTTGTTGTTTTTAAGCACGACATGAATTACGCCAGATAAATTTAAAAAGCAGCTACTCATTGAAACTTCAACTACTGACATCTCAAATTGTTCAATGACTTAGCAAACCTCTGCATGGAATATTTTTCTGAAATGATTTCTAAGATATTGCCGCCCAAAAATATTTAAAAAATTAGTTTTTTAAATAAGCATTTGAGATACATACGTACGTAATGTTGAAAAATATTATTTAAGCAAGAAACTACCCAAGGTTTAACAGGCACTGTATTTTTCCCTCCGATGTTGATCATTTTATTGTCCCTGATCAAGTAGTTGCTTCCACACTTGCCCGGGTAACCACCTTGATAATTTTATTCGAATTACGTTGGTTAAACGTAAATAAACATTTGCATTGGATGCAATTAAATTCGACGGATATGAAATGAAGTGCTACAGAAAATTGTTTGGAATCAGCTAGAGACAGAAGGTAAGGTAAAAACGAAATGAAAAAACAACTTAAAAAACAATTGAGTATTCGACAGTTTGACGAGGTACGAAAATTGGGACGCTGGACATATTTACATAATGCCGAATAATTGATTTATTAAGACCGGAGAAGAAACGGACTGGGACGGGAATATTAAATTCAATAAAACTGTTCACCTGGGAAATCTACAAACAAACTGGACATGAACAACCTTAAACGGTTTCTCAAGCGATTAAAAAGACCATTGATTGATTATCAATCAATAAGTTTTTTAAATTATCAATCAATCAGTTCAATCATTCATTTGATAGATTGATTGAAACTCATGTTTACTAATTAATACTTGAAAATTTTCAATAAAATGTTTATAATGCTTATTTATAAGGACTAACCATTCAGGCCGTAAGGTTGAAATACTCTACGTTCAGTGAGAACAGAGAGAATAAGATTTTTTCGGAACAACATTTCTCTGATTAATCCATCTCCTCCTTTAAATTCACCAATACCACCCGTCCCTTCATTTATTGCAAACGTCTTTAAGACCACAGGATATCTGAAATTGAAATGTGACCACTGATGAAAAAATTGTGATTGACTACAGAGTAATTTTCAATCAGGATCACCTTTTTTCAAGAATCTCAACGTCGGTGATGCGGGTGTTGGTCATGTGGGTGTGCACGCCACTTCTGCCATGCCAGTTTGGACCCTATGGTGTTTAAAAAGGATTTATTAAAAAGGAGTCTAGATGGGCTGCTAATTATCAACTCTTTTGAAATTGTAGTGCAAATATCTATATGAAAAAGCTCAAATGATAAAAATAGACATCGATATTATAAAAAATGTTGAAGAAATTGATATTGTACATAGCCAAAAAGTTCACACACACACAAACACACACACAAAAGCAGGCAAGCCACTTACAGCACCGGAACCTCCAGCGACAGTTTCATAATACCCCATCTTGTTATCACCAAATGTGATGTTGTTCATGCAGCCCTGTGTTGAAGTGTATTTGCAAGTTTGTGGAGTTAATCACTGATTTATACCAGTCGACAATCCTATTTTAAAATTTACGTGTTATTCCGTTTGTTCGCGTATTAAGTGCGACTGTCAAACGCTGAAAGTGCTATTGAAAGTATGCAAATTGCGCAAAACTAAACTGTTAAGACAACAGAATTTCTTGAATTGCAAACGTTTGATACTATTTTTTGAAAAGTTTTACAAAAAAAACACTTTAATGTTGAGCGCAATTTGTGGTAAAATATTTTAGAGTGTAAAAAACGAGCGGTTGAAAAAGCAGTTACCTGCGAAGCGGCACAGACTTGAAAGGTTTTGAAAATGACGTCAACGATGCGCTGTGAGGTGAGAACATTGCCGCCCACGACAGCAGCTTCCTCGCTGGGATTCAATATGGAACCATCTGGAATGATCACCGTGATCGGCTCGAGACACCCCTGACGACCGGAAAAAATAAACATTAAAAGTTACCACCGACTGAAATTACAAAATTATTCATGAAAAATATCCAAAAACGTTAAAACCAAAGCATCTTGAACGTATTTCTCGACCACAAGTAACGATTTTGCAGGTAATTAATTTGTTTCAATTATGATATTTGAATTAATTTAAAATTCATTCTCTGTCAATCGCAGAAAATGTTACAAAATGCAAAAAATAAATTAATAAAAGATGTAACGACAAAGAAATTGAAACGAATTTAGTAAAAGTGAAATGACCCGTAGATGATAAAGAATAAGTTGTAAAACAAAAAAAAACTAAGAAATATTTTCAACTGAACCCTTTAGAAGTGGAAAATTATGTTTATTGCTGTGCAGATGAGGTTAGAAAGTAAGAAGAGAGTGAGTGCTAAATGTATGAAAAAATGAGGAAAGAATAAATAGCATGTATAAAAGTATGTGACTCAACGAATATATGACTCTTATTGTATGGAACTTTGTTGAGACTGTGAGTAGATCTAAGAGCTTCATAAAAAATCAAAAGAAAAAATAGTAAATAAATATAATAAAAATAGTTTAAATTAATGTGTGAATCAGACCATATTTGGAGAAGAGAAAAAAAAATTGAGTAAAAGAATGGATGAATGAATGAATGAATGATTAAATGAATAAATAAGTAGTGAATGAAGGATGAATCTAAAATTAATAGTGTATAACTGGCTAAAAGTGATTGAATTGGTGATGGATTGATAATGCCTAAAGACGAATGTTTTATTTTGTAATGATGATTAAGTGATGAGATGTTTGCGTTGTCTTAAGTCATGCATGTATCTTGGCAGGCAGATGTAAGGAGTGAATGACACGATTAGTTTTTGATTCTGTTTTTTGAACAGGCGCAAGTCAAGCGTGTTACAAATATGTGCTACATTTGGCTGAGATTTTGGTCATTACTGCATGCGTGTTAGTTTATTGATGGGTGATTGTAGTCGTTGTAGCTGCTGTCTTCTGACAAAACCAGAACAGGAGGAAGCGGCATTTTTGATATGCAAGATTATTAAGGCTTCAGTAATGTCTAAAAGTTTGGTGCTTTTAGACTCGTGTCCACGGAGATTTTTGACAGTGTGGAAGGTTTGGATTCCTTATTGGTGATGATATGATTGGTATGAGAAGCTATATTGAATGTAGAGGCTAATGTGACGCCTAGGATTTTTAATTGATTTTTGCGGGCGGTTGGTGGAGTTTGATTTTTCTATGACTATTATGGATGATTATTTCGAATGACTTTTTAAAAGTATGGAGTCCAAGAAGGTAGAGTGGTCTCTATTCGACAGGTGAAAGATTAGAAGAGATTAGAAAATTAGAAGAGATTAAAAGATTATATATATTGTCAGGTAATGAGAAAGTAGCGAGGTAGGAGGCAAGGTGTAGAGAAGTGCCGTGCGATGAAATGAATAAATTTATTACCATTGAGTACTGAGGTGATTGTTGTGGAGAGTGAGATGGCGGCGGCTGTTGATGATCCTGTATGGAAAAAGGCAAGTTGACCTTGTAATAATGGCTTGACTGATTGGTGGATGATTGAGGCAAGGACTGAGGAAAGATTTTACTAAATGCTTTTACAGTATGTGAGAGGATAAGTGTGATGAATACTTGGCTCTACTGATAGTAGGATGGTTAGTTTTTGAGATGGGATGAATGATATTAGACTTCTATTGCTCATGGATGGAGTGGATTAAACAGAGATTGGAAAGGAAAGAAGTAAAGACAGAGCATGAATGACATACAAAGGGAGAGATAAGTTTAAGGAACTAGAAAAAAAAGGCCGGCGTGTCCAGTGCCAGAAGGTCAAGGTTTTGTGAGAATGTGATGGATAGTGAGAGGGTGGATGGATAGAGAGAGGAAAGAGTTGCTGGCGATAAATTGTGGTCATTCCAAACTGCACATTTTAAGAACACATGTTAAAGTTTTAGAAAAAATTTAAAAAGTTTATCCTATTTTGAATGTATATACATGGAAAAAACGAAAGCGTTTTTCAAATTTTGTGTTTAAACGTGTTGCAGAGATGTAAGGACATGAAACATCATAACTTAGCTCAAGGAAGAGCCCATTGAACTCTTATAACAAAACATGAGGAATACATTTGAATGAAACATTCTTACTTGATTGAGAGGAATTTCCTGTCCAATCATGCACCTCAAGCAGTAGATTATTGCTGAATAAGTTACAGCTTTTGGAGCATTCAGATTTCCATAAACTTCATACGATGATCCACTGAAATCAAAAATTGCAGAGCCCTTGCAAAACAAAACATGAAAAATTAAAAAATGCAACCAAATTTCAATTATAATTTTACATTTTAAAGTTGTTAACAGCATTGTATAAAAAATTAATGAATAAAAAATGTATTAAAATTAGAAAAATGCACAGAAACATTTGATTCGTTTATGGTAACAGTCAAGCGAACAGTAAAGCCACCATCCATTTTGTCTTCTCCAGTAAGAACTTTCTTTGAATCTTTGATTTTAAGACCTACATTTTTCATCAAATTGCGAACAGCATATTGTGCAGTAGACTGAAAAATAAAAAAAAACATTTATTTAATCCGTTAATTTAAAAATCAGAGAGAAACACTCACACAAAACCACACACAAGCCCAATAACAATAATAACCAAATAGTTAAAAAGATTCAATGGAGAGAGACAGTGGCGTAAAAATTACATCAGCTTAGAAGGATTGGTCAGAAAGCTCATTTCTGGTATGAACTCCTATTATCACATTTAAAAAATTCAAATTTCAAGAAAATCATACCTGAATATAATTCATGTATGCCTGGACAACGTTCAATCCATATTCCTCTATGAGCTCCAGGACAAGTAAAATCCCCTGTTTCATTCACATTTTTTGCAGTCCGTAAAAATAATTTAACGATTTTTCCAAAAACTTCAACATAAGTATTGAACGCAATGATCGATGACAAGACCTTATTGTTAGCTGCCACCTGAGCTCGCAGATCACTGATGTTGTCGGAAACATTCCTGCTGCCAGTGCAACCTGGATGTGTCGACGGGGCATTCAGGGCTTCAATCAATTCTGAAAAAAGAATAATTTAATACTAAAAATCGTAAATATATTGCTTCAACGGTGTTCAGATTGAATAATAATAACAGCAATTAATAAAATGTCTACAGTTAATTCCACATGATGCTTAAAGTCGTTTAAAAAAAAATTCAATGAACCCTTACCTTATACTATCGTAACTTATAATGAATAACTTATTTATAAGAACGAAGTGGGCTACTAAGAAATACATTTTCCTCAAACTGAAAACTTAACACTTGTCAATTTGAGTAGTGTCTTTGGAAAACAATTTTAGAAGACTCGCGTTAACGATTTCGATTCTCTAAAGTACATCACTTGTCAGTTCAATTTCATCTCATTCGGATGGCATATATAATAATGCACGCAATTCACGTAATTTTTTAAAAATCGGTTGGAAGCATCGAGTAAAATGTTTCATTCCACATTTGAATTTTTTTACTTATAGTTTCATTTGCATTTAAGAGGGATAGTCAAAAATTTAATTTTTATCGTTTCGATGTATATAAATCTCATTGGTCGAAAGATATGGCCGCCTACTAAAAGTTTCAAAAGTATACAAATGTTAAAAAGTTTTCTGACAATCTTTAATCATCTTTTTAATTTTTTAATCTTTGAATGTCCTAAATGACATCGGAAACGGAAACGAATAAAAAGAAATAAATCATGATGCGTGAAAATCGGTTAAGTCGTTTTCGAGTTTATCGCGGCGTAACCAACGCATCTATTTCATTTTATGCATATTTAGGTAGAATTATCAGAAAAAATATTTATTGAAAAAATTGTTAGCCTATAACTTTTCCAAAACATCAAATAAATTAATTAAAAAAACTTAAAACTATAAACTTCAACAAAACCTTAGTCTAATTGATAATTTTTAAATTCATTTTTTCCTAATTAAACTTATTTAAATTTTCAAACGTTTATTTAAAATTTCAGAACAACAGCTTCAATAGTGGAATAAATATTATAAAATATTCGAAATAGATAAAAAAAACTTTTGAGAAACAATTTAGTCTTTCCACATTGTCGGTACTGGCGACAAATTGAAATTACAATCTAGCAACAGTAATGTTTCAAAAAGATTTTTAGAACTATTTTATTTAATGAGTCTTTTTGTGAATAACATTGATTGATAGATTTTGATTGATTGATTGGCTAATAAATTGATTGATTGATTGATTGATTGGTACAGTTAACAATTAAAGTGTAAATTACCTTGTTCATTGAACGAATGATTTTTGATCAGAGGAAATGATTTGAAAACAGCTCCTTCTTCATGAATGGACGTGGAATTGGAAGGCATAGATCCAGGAGTGGAGCCGCCAATATCAGCGTGATGACCTCGACATGCCACAAAAAATACCGGCCTGGTGCAGTCTTTGTAAAACACCTGTGCAAACGAATGCCATCATCAAATAAAATAAAAAGTAAATTCCCCAAAAATGATTGCAACAAACGGGCGTTATGACGGTGAGGTCGGGAAGATGGCTGCCACCGGCGCAAGGGTGATTGGATAATATCACTGTTCCATCTTTCAAATCATCTCCCAGCGATTGCATCTGTAGTGTAGTTTACAAAAGTGATCATTACATAACTTGTACAAAAAAAACTTTTTGTTCCTTCATGACACAAACAACAACAAAAATAATAACTTGATATTGCACGGCTTGTTGCATTGCTCCTAAATGAACGGGAATGTGAGGTGCATTCGCCACCAAGCCCCCATCGTCACCGAACAGCGCACACGAAAAGTCCAACCTTTCCTGGGAGTAATAAGTTTGTTAACATTTTCAATTAACGACTGTCAAAATACACTAACTTTAATATTGGTGGAGATTGCAGTTCTTTGAAGCACTCTGTAGAGACAAAATATAAACTAAAATTTCATTTAAAAACATAATCGGTAATAAAAACATAAAAACCGAAGTAAAAGCTGTTCAAGCGTGTAAACAACTAGCCAGGTCGTCAGTAATAATAAAAGTTTACCAACTTATCGTTTAATGCTAAACAATTTAAAAAATTCTAAAATAAAAACAGCTTGCACTACATCTAAAGAGTACGGAATGTTGAAGGCTGTTAAATTAAAAAAGTGAAGGCAGACGTTACAAGATTGCAATAAGCCATGAGGATGAAGTCTTCTGTAAGGTTCCTTCAACGCAATAATCACGTGGGACACTTGCTCGTGTATCAGCAACACACCCTAAGCCAGCCCACCTAAGTTTCCATGAAGTATCTAAAAATTTCTATCATGCGAATGACAGGAACTTATTCATTTTGGAGACGGATACACAAAAGGATTCTTTTACCATAATTTTTCATTGCTGTAATTTCAAAGCATTTTATTTTACAGCTTGATTAAATTTAATAATGAAGGTTTATTACGGTTTTGTTTTATATTTGATAACAGAGTGCCTAAATTTTGCATTCACGAGGAGAAAATTGTTGAAGACGTGGTGTTTCTTTCTGAGGCCTTTTCAACAGAAAAGGGTAATAAAACATAAATATATTAATACATCTTCTCAGTTTTCAAGTTTTATATCAAGTAGAAAAATGTTTAAATAAATAATTACTTGAAAATTTATAAAACACGAAAGCAACTTTACCTTCCCATCTGCTCTGCAATGCTCATGAATCGATGAGAAAATATCGATAACTTGATAGGATCCAAACTGACATTCATTGACAATTTCTGAACCTTACCGACCTAAAATGCAATGAGCTTCTCGAGTAATTGAATTCTTTTAAACAGTGATAACTTATGAAATAGTAATTTCAGTGCTTAAAATGAAATGGCAGTAGTGATTCAAAATGAATTATCTTCTTCCTAACCTGCACCTTCCTCGAGACAGTTTGCATATTTTAAAAAATATTATTCTAATGCAGTGCTTTTTAAACTTCTTTTCCGCGGACCGGTACGGAATTTAATGGGCATGATGTGGACCACCATTACAATATATATATATATATATATGTATATATATATATATATATATATATATATATATATATATATATATATATATATATATATATATATACATACAATAAACATACCGTGAATGTTGGTAAATTTGTAGATTTTGTTAATTTTACAAGCATGATACTTTTAAACAGCTGATAACGTTTGCATATGTATATATATATATGGTCCGTTACGGTTAATATATCACGCGTGAAAAACTATTTCTTGTTCACTTTCATACTTATCTCACACTCTAATCATGTTTTTTTTAAACAGCTGACATACTTATCTCGCCAATTTAGAACAATGAATTTCATTAGTTGCCGACAGAGATCATTCTGGCTCTCGGACCACCACTTTGAAAAGCACTGTTCTAATGCGTAAAACCAGTCTAAAGAAATATAATGATAATGCCGAAGAAGGATCTGCTTAATAAGACAAAGGAAGACTTCATGAGGAATTTCGATGTAAATAATTTGAAAGCACTTGTTTCAATTGTTTTCATTAATTAATTACATGATATTGAAAACTTTTTTCTCTCTTCGGCTGTTTTCAAACGTTCTCAATAACTGATTATCCACTTTTAAAACATTTGAATTCAAGAAAAAATTATCTAGATAATGACAAAATGTTATGATAGATGTTTACCTCGCGAATTTTGGAGTAAAAGAACTTTCTTTTTAAAAAACGACTTGGTGAAATCAAAATATATTTCATTTATGAGAAATGGTAACGGTAAGATCTCAGTTTAAAAAATAAAGCTTTGTTTCACAATTTCAGCTTTAATTTTTCGACGAACGGCGTAATTGCTATTAGTCTGAATAGTATCAGACATTTTGAATGGTACATCGTGTATAGTTTCGTATTTATGAAAATACAGTCGTCTTAGTTTGTTTTGGAAACATAATAAGAGATAAGTTATACCTTGATAATTATGTCTCTCTCCTCAGTAACGTAAGCCTGACAGTCCCGTTCCACCAGAATTGTGCTGCAAAGTAAAACGTTGTTGGAACAAGTTGAAGAAAATAAAATAATGGTTCAGCATACATCAGCAACAAATGCCATCCTGCCAAGCAGTTCAAAAAAAGTGCTTGCAAGTTTAATGAAAGCCGGAAAAATACTGAAACATCATCGCTAAATAATAGCACAACCAGATCGTGACTCATTGAATAATTAAATTTAAGACAGATAAGAAAAATAACTGATTGAATTTGTTTTAAATTATCTTTTATTAATTTATGTTTATTTTTCATATTGCTTATTTTACATTTAGATATTTTCCATCAAATAAGATTCGGTTAGCGAAGGTTTTTTTGCCTATAATAAATTCATTCTCTATGTAAGTGAAGAAAAACTGTGAAACATCGATAAGTAATTGACACATGTTTCCAAAAGTTACCAAATATTTTAATAGTTACGATAATTATTAAACAATTTATTTAATCAAATAAAAATGATTAAGGTTAAAAGTCTTATAGACTTTTCCAAAGTTCTAATTAAAAAAATAATAGCTGAACAACAAATGCTGGCATTTGTAACAACTCAAACGTAATAAACAGAAACAACGGATCTATAAATGCAAGAAGAAGTGTGCAGGGAACCTGTTTTGGTCGATGATGACTGCTGGTCCGTCGATGATTTGCTGGGTGGCAAGTTGGCTCAAAACATACAAAGGAGTGGCTAGGTAGCCACAATCGAAGAAAACTCTCACAACCTGCAAAATTAAGTAAAATATTAACTCTAATTTACAAATGTAAACAGAAGAATATTTTTAACAGTTTCAGGTTGCGTCAAGGTTTGAGCATTTTCTTGCTTTTCGTAGTCAACTTTAATGCTAGACCTTCCAATGCCTTTGATCCTCAGACTTTCAACCACAACATGTCGCCCTTCCAATATGAAGCCAAATTCTTGGTTGAACCTTCGTTGGAGAAACTCAATATTATGACGAAACAATTCATCAAAAAATTGTTACTTTTCAACGAAATAAGTATCCAGATTGTCTTTAGAACACGAATATTTGTCGTAGCGCTTTGGACCTTTGCTGCAAATAAGTGCGCAATCTGTTCCTTCATACCTCATGTGAAATATTACCTCATTTTCTATGTTTTCTCTTCAATAATAATTGTATGTTCACAGTGAATTATAGATATGTGAAAATTACGTAACAAATCTTACTACATTGTGAATCCTTTCAAAAGTAATTCATTATTGCATTTTGAAATCATTTCATCTACCCTAGCGTCAATCCAGGCAAAGCTATCTGGTTAATTCATCATGGAAATGTAAAATAAATGAAAAAAATTACAATTTAAAACGTTATGAAGAATTGAAAATGATACGAATGGGAACAAAAGGTTCGAAACAAAAACATAAATTCTTAGGCGGTAACAAGATAAACATGTCATAAACTTTACTTCTAAAAGAATCTGATTCATGAATCCAAAAAGTTGTTAGGCAATGTTAACAAATTTCAAATGACACGACAAATGAAAGAAATCAACCTTCACGATAGCATAGTGAACTGGGTTGCTGATTCTCAACAACGACATCTGCCAACGCAAGTCCAAACGCTGACAAGAGACCAGAATACCTATAATAAGAGGGAGAGAGTTTATACCAGTATTCATATCAGCAGTTATTAGACACATCGTTAGATTTACATTGCATCGAAGAATTTTAAATTAATTATTGATATAAAATTCAGCTATTCTTTTTATCATGGAATATGTCACGCAGAGCTTCTTAATTTGTTACAAAAAAGTGAATTCGCCATAAATTATTTATAAAGACAATCAAAAATAAATTGATCTTATCATTAACACATCAACAAATAATCTCAGCCTAAAATAATTTATTTACTTCAAAGAACTTACCAAAAGTAAAAAAAAACAAGATAAGAGATGAAAAGATGATTTCTATGTATCACTTGTTCTTTCTTGTTCAGCTGCCTCAAACACATTTACATGTCGTTTCTTATTTACTAGGTTTCAACTAAACATTTTGTACCACAAGGCACCATCATTGCAAACGACATAATTAGACATCCGGGCGAGCCACATTAGTCGCCTCTAAGCTAACTAGCTAACCGAAATTCCCCAACCTTAATTTAGTAAATCAATTTATATCATCCACTCTAAGTAATGGGATAACTGCATCAAATACTTTACCAATATCATAAATCATACCTACGTCTCTAAAAGCTAATTAAATTATTGACGTATCAAAACTTTAACAAAATTTCAATTTGAAACGTTAAAAATTCCATCGCAGCCAAAAACATCGTATGAAAAATATTAAAAATTATCCAATGTATTATTTCCATATCCCAACAACATCTCAACACAACATCTTTCTAAAATTTTTTCTATTTCCACCCTGACCATTCGTTCATCCATCATGTAGGCCGCTTAAATTTGGTTACTTCAAGTTAGAGAAGAACTACTGGCTACTTAAAATTTTCAAATGCTTACAAAAGTTTTAAGTTTGAATAAATAAATCTTGAAAAATGTTCTAACATGCCACTATCTTTATAATCACCATCATCGTACTTGTTCTCTACCGATTGAGACTTAACATGTTTCAACACCACATTTTAACAACTCAATGGAAATCCGTCATTTCTGTGAATCGGCAGAAAAATTTTATGTTTGCGTGACCACTAATCAAATAATCGTACATTTACCGGTGTATATCACTTAGAAGTGTCCTTTCAACACAAAAATTATAAATACAACTCTCAGTCAACAAAAAAATTATAAGAGAGTTCAACAAAATAATTTATATGTTCTGGTTATGCAACGCTGACAAACAGAAAGCTGCTTAGTGCTTATACATCACTCCCTACTTACAATTAAACCTGTTGTTTCACGAAATCTGT